TCTCTTCCTCTCCCTCCTCAGACAGCTGCCTGCTAGAGTCTGTGAATCCCTCCTGAGAAGCGCAGAATAAACTTCCCCCTTTTCTTCTCTCTGGCCTGGCTCTGATCAATCTTTGCGGCGAACTTAATAGAAATAAGAGTTTAACTGGTAAAAAGTAGCTGCTGTGAGCATTATGCGCCTTAAAAAACAAACAAACGCACTGTCACTGAGTCAATTCCAACTCATGGCCACCCTGCAGGGCAGGCAGGGGAAGGACAGGCGAGAACTGCCCAGGTGGGTTTCAGAGTATACTCTGGATAGGTGTAGAAAGCCTCATTGGTCTCCCTCAGAGCTGCTGGCAGTCAAGGTAGGCAGGCTATTTGTTCCTAATGTCCTCCAACTGGTACCTGACCCATCAATTTCAAACTCCTACCCTGGAGGAACACAACCCAACATGTAACCCCTGTGCCACCAGTGCTCTCCTCAAGAACCATCTACAGAGGATCAAAGTGGCATCGTAACTTCAAAGGGTAGACAGGAATCTAGGGAACAGCGAGTTTCATGTTAATAGGGAAAGAACAATTCAGAAAAGTAGGGTGAGAATGGTTGCACAATTTGAAAAAAGTGCAGTCAATGCCACTGAATTACATGTGTAGAAAAGGCTGAAATGGTGCATGTTTTGCTGTGCCTGTTGTCAACATTATCGCACACACATGCAAAGGCTTCAAAGTTTGTGAGAAATGTCTATCTTCTTTTAATTTCATTTCCCCATGAACTTTTTGATGTTCCTTCATAACACATGCATGCTAACTTTAACATGTACTACTTATCAATTTCCTACTCTGTGGGAAAGACTGCATAAACACAGCCAAAGCATCCACCCTTGCAAAGGAGAAAAGGGGTGGGGGAGGGAACAAGACAGATCAAGTACCAAGTATGATATACAGGGGACTAGTGATATAGCACCGGAAGCAGAAGCTACTTCCACATTCCCAAGGAAGGTGTGCATTGGAGAAGAAGGGATGCCGTGGAAGCCAGATCACAGATAGCAGGCACAACTCCTGTGGGGGAGAAGCAAGTGTGCAGGCAGAGAGGTAACATAAAAACACATAGCTGCCAGCTGATTAAATGACTGGTTTGAAAGTGTAAGTGAATCCGATTGTGTTAGATCCCATTGCTCTCCAAAGCAATTCCCATTAAATGTGCTCTTTTTGCCTGCCCTTCCAACCACACAGAAAGGTTTGCTTTGAAATCTTGAAAAACAAGATGTTCATAAGATAAGTAATACACACGAGGGGGCTATACTCCCCAAAATGGATTTTCCCCCCAAAAGCTATATATTTACATTAAAAAAATCATTTTATTGGGAGCTCTTACAGATATTATAACAATCCATAATTCAATTAGATCAAGCATAACTACAATTACTGCCACCATCATTTTCTAAACATTTTCTTTCTTCTTGAACTCTTTGATATCAGCTCCCCTTTACGCCCTCTCTCCCCCAACCTACCCCCGCCTCCAGGAAGCCTTATGTCTAATATTATAAGTAGTGATTATTATTACAGCCATCTTATACTGTTCACTGTATCGGCTCCCCTACAATTCTGTTATTTGTTCCCCTCGAGTGCTGTTAACAGTCATCTTCGCTATCAGTTCGCCTTCCCCCTAGCCCCCCACCTCCTTCCCGGAACCCCAGGAATCGTTGCATTTCTGACAGGTTTATCTATCTTGGGTTTCATACATATACACACACACACACACACACACACACACACACACACATTCTATAAAAGAAGACAATGTTCGAAGGCAAGCTTCTTTACGAAGTAAAACTATTGTTTGGTTGGTTTAAAGATGACTTCAGGGGATTATCTCAGAGATTACCGCCTACAATAGCTTGTCTTTTTGTTGTGTTTTTTGGTATGTTTGTGGGCTGGGGCTGGGGTCATTCAGGTTCCCGGGTTTCAGAAAGTCTGGAATTCATGAGAATTTGAAATTGTTCCACATCTTTTCTCCTTCAGTCAGGAACCTTCCCTAGAATCTTTGATCACATGATACCACTATTTTTTTTTCCTGTGCCTACCAGGATCGTGGACAATTTTGGTTTAAATCCACGCGCAGTCTTTGAAAGAACACATGCAGTTTAGTATACCTTTCCAACAGCGGTTTCCTAGGGGTCTGTTTCCATAAGTCAGGGTGTTAGGGGTCTTATGCCACCATTTTGCATTTGTTCTGAAAAACTGGTTCCAGGATCATTTCCCTGGACCGTCTCATTTTAAATCTCCTTTAGTGGTGGGATTGTAGCTGACTTTTGGGCTATAAAATGCATATCCAAGTTCTAAATTTAAAATGTGATTACATGTTATTTTCTAATCAAGAAAACCCTCAATATGTTAAAGTTAGTTTAAAACTTAAAAAAGGGGAAGATTGCACAGTTGATTAGGTTTCCATTCAACACTTTTTACACAAACTGTTCCGTGATACTCAGTTACATTCTTCACACTGTGAGAATGCTCCTTTCCATTCCAGTTGCTCTGTTTCCAAAAACGTAGTTTGCCTGGCCCTTCACTTTTTGTGGTGAAATGAAATGATTTGGAAAGTCTCTACTTTGTAACTCTCATTAAATGCTTGGTCGGGACAATGCAAATAGGGTGAGTGAAACACCCATAGAGGGGGTGTGTTAATCTGGGTAGACTAGAGAAACAAACCCACAGAGACTCATATGTATATGAGAGTTTTATATAAAAGGTAAGTGCACATTAAGAAAGCATCCCAACCCAGTCCAGTCTAAGTCCGACATTAGCCCATATGTCCTCCAACACCAATCCACAAGGTCCTCCTCAAACTCACAAAACACACGCAGTAATGCTGACTGCAGGAGGAAAGCTGAATCAGTGAACGTGTAAGCATCTCAGCGCTGGCAGGGGTCTCCATGCGGCTTCTCCAGCACCCAGGGCTGCATCAGGGTAGGTCCATGTGGCTCCTCCTCAGGGATGTCTTGCAGGAAGTGAGCCTTGCCAGATGAGGCAAAGAACTAGCTAAGGCAGCTGCACCCTGGTCTGAGCATCAGAGAATAAGATACCCGAGAACTAGAAAGGCAAGGCTCACCGAGTCATTTATCTCTCCGCCTTTCAATTAATCCCACATGTGTTTATTGGCCAAGGTGGCACAATAAACCTTAACCATCACAGGGAGTTTGCAGGTATAAGTAGGCTGCATCTTGGAAGCAAAACAGAAAGAATTCCCAGGACCATTAAGGACGAAGAGTCACCCGTGGAACATGTTCTCTCAATATCCCTGCCTGATGTGGCAGCAAGGCCCTGCACTGCTGAGACCGAAGACATCAGCGCAGAGAAGCCACAGTGCTGAGACCAGAGACCATAAGACTGTGACACAGAGCAGTGGGTAGGCTTCCCAGCCGTTCCAAAAGGGACTATGTAGCTAGTGGGGAGGCTAAGGGTCAGAGAAAGATTTGGCCAGCTGCGAGGAGAGGTGCAGCTAAGCACTAAAGACCTGTATCCTTATCATCCTGACTTATAGCCCCCATAAGGGCCAGTATTGTCTGTGAGTTCTGTGTGGGCACTGCAACGGATTACTGGATCCGGCAGTGTCATGGGAGGTGGCTACGTCCAAATAGGACAGAAGAAGAATGCAGGGTGAAGAGGCATGTGTGAGCTCCGCCTTGTGGCAAGTGTGTGGAGATGGATTCTCCTTTGCCCTCCTGAAGCCCTGGGAGGTCAGATGGGGCTTCCATACATTTACTTACCTTCTTATCTTTTTTTAAAAAAAGTAATTGTTGGTAGTTTGGACTCATATATGATTTTTTTGGTTTTTTTCCCCATAGGTGATTTCTTAAGGGAGCCTAGTACTCCGTACTGTTTAAACCCGAAAGAGTGTTTCTGGCCAATACTCTTGGGGAGTTCTCTAATAATTTGGGATTTTAAAAGAATTATACATTCTACTTCATATTTTCTCCCATTCCACCATGGTACATCTTGAGGCTCTGATCAGCATAGTCAGTAGTGGTAGCTGAGCAAGAACTAGTTCTTTTGGTCTCAGGATAGATAATGCTGTGGTTCACGTGGACAAGTTCTCTGAGTCTTATGCTTCTTCTATTGCTTTTGTTCTGGATGAATAAAGACTAATAGTTCTTTCTTTGACGGCTGCCTGTATGTAAGCTTTAAGATTCCAGACAAAGATGTAGAATATAAACTTTATGAACTATATGTCAATTGACCAAATTGAAAAGCGGTAGTATAATATTCACAGCTTCATTTTGCTTCACATACTGGTAAATATTGGACTATTTACTTCCAGTATATTTTAACAAGGGGAACAGAGAACTCTTTCTCTCATGGTAGTAGACTTTGTTGTTTAAAAAGCCTAAAGTAAGAAAGACATGTAATATCCCTATCTTACCTAGTAGTTCTTTTTTTTAAAAAATATCTGTTATGAATTAAATGTCCCTTTTATTTGCAAGAGTTTTTTTTGAGGCACATGGTTGGCACAATAGCAGCAATGTGCCACGCCTCACAGTGTAGCTCCCTGGCTGAGTCAATTACCTCAATTTCTTGTAACTGCTCCTGATTGGTTGTATACATCTGCTGAAGAGAATCCTCCAATTCTGTGTTCCGATCCAGCAGGGTCTTCCCAAGCTCAGCAGCCAGTTGGAGATCTAGTGCAACAATTGAGTCTTAGAATAGCACAAACAATCTCAATCCAACACTTTATATATAACACAGTCTTTAAAATAGCAACAAACCAAAGCCTGACAACAGAAGTTTAAAGTGGCCTATGATGGGAGGTGGACTGGCCCCAAAGGAAGCCCGAGTTCTACTTAACATTCAGTTGACAGCCCCACCCCATCCTCCCGCCGCTTTCCTCTGCAGGTAAGCTGTCTCTCAAGGAGCCTTGTTTGTGAAATGTGCAGAACAGAATCTACTTTGTGGGCAGCTATCATTAGTTCAGGGATCATCATTCAGCACTGCGACTTCTCAGATCATCAACCAGTTGCTTTGGAGTTAAAATAAATTGGCTCATGGCAAGTCCTGTGCTCTATGGGCTCTTGTTTTGTTTTCTTTTTCATTCATCTTTTTTCCACGTTCGCATTGCCTGCACAAGTTTATTATCTTTTTTTTTAAATTAATGACTATATTGGGGGCTTTTACAGCTCTTATAACAATCCATACATCCATTATATTAAGCACATTTGTACACATGTTGCCATCATCCTTTTCGAAACATTTTCTTTCTACTTGAGCCCTTGGTATCAGTTCCTCTTTTTGCCCTCCCTCCCTCAGCTTCCCACCCTCATGACACCTTGATAAATTATTTTCATATCTTACACCATCTGCTGTCTCCCTTCACCCATGTTTCTGTTGTTCGTCCCCTAGGGGTGGGGATGGGGATTATACGTTGATCATTGCCATTGGTTCCCCCTTTCTCCCCCTACCCTCATGGTATTGGTACTCCCATTATTGTTCCTCAGGGGTTTATCTGTCATGGATTCTGTGTGTTGAGAGCTCTTATCTATACCAGTGTACATGCTCTGGTCTAGCTGGATCTGTAAGGTAGAACAGGGTCATGATGGGGGGGGGGGCAGGATATTAAAGAACTAGAGGAATGTTGTATATTTCATCAGCGCTAAACTGCATCCTGGCTGGCTCTTCCCTTACTGAGATCCTTTTGTGAGGGGATGTCCAGCTGTCTACAGATGGGCTTTGGGTCTCCACTCTGACCCCTCTTGTTCGCATGGATATGATTGTTTGTTTTGGGTTTTCTGATGCGATACCTGAACCAGTGGACACCTCGTGATCACACAGGCTGGTGTGCTACTTCCATGTGGGCTTTGTTGCTTCCCTGCTAGATGGCCACTTGTTTATCTTCAAGCATTTAAGACCCCAGATGCTATATCCGGGCACCAACCGCTTTCCTTACTACATTTGCTTATGCACCCACTTTGTCTTCAGTGTCGGAAAGGTGAGCATCATGGAATGCCGGGTTATTAGAACAAAGTGTTCTTGCTTTGAGAGAGGACTTGAGTAGAGGCCCAATGTCCATCTGCTACTTTGATACTTAACATATACTGTACTATATACACTTGAGTATAGCCGAACCAAATATCAGCCAAGGCACCTAATTTTACCACGAAAACTGCATAAAAAATGTACTGAAAAACTTGGCATATACACAAGTATATATGGTAAATCTATGACATAGACCTATATCCCTAAAGTTATATATTAATATATTTACCAAATATACTCATGTATAAGCCGAGTTTTTCCAGCACATTTTTTAATGCAGTTTTTGTAGTAAAACTAGGTGCCTCGACTGATATTCAGGTCAGCTTATACTCAAGTATATACGGTGTGCATGCGCGCGCGTGTGTGTATTCAAACATATATATGCCTATATTTACACCTCTATGTTTTTTTCTTAGTTCTTTCTGCTATTTCCTTTTACTTTCCTCCTGTCCCACTATCATGTTTGACCTTCATTAGGCTCTCAGTAATCCTCTTGGCTACATTACACTGGATCAAACCCCATGAGGTGTTCTACACCCTCTTCACCATCAATTTTGGATTTCTTGTTCCCTTCCTTGGGTTTGTTGGCTAGCCCTCCCTCTCCTTTTATCCCATTTCCTCCTCTCCCATGTCCCTCACCCCTGACCCCCAACTGTCAGTCCCATTGTTTTCTCCTTGGGATTGTTTATCCTACCTATTTTATAGAGATTAACATGAAAAAAAAAGGAAAAAACAAAACAAAAAATAGCGTATAAATAGTGCCAGGTCTGTCTGTTGACCCTTATGTTTTCCAATCGAGTCTGATGAGGTGCCAAGCTCTGCCCTCAGAGTCTGAAGTCTATTTTGGGGATTCTTTTCTATGGGGTTTTGGGATTCTTTTTTATGGAGTTTTTTACAGCTGATTAAAAAAATATATATATAGATTCCCCACGGCCCAGGGACTTCTGGGTAGATTCGGGACTCCTCTGAGATCACAGTTGTCTACTCATGGAATGGACTCACTCTTATGCTAACAGTACACAATTTTAGATGCTTACATAAGCAACATGAATTGAGACAGATGGGTGGAATTTTAACAGGTAATTGAAACAGTAGTCTGCACAGTAAACTTCATGAAAGAGGTGTTTTGCTGTCATGTAGTAAGATATGCACTAAGTAAGGTCTGAGGTCCTATTCTAACATTTACCAGATGATTTGAAAGGCTCCTATCTTAGAACTCCTGTCTTGAGAGATAACCATCAGTATATTATGAAAAGTACTTAAATATCATGAAATATACAAAGAAACACTTTCTACCCTAAGCTGTGGTACAATGGCAAGGTATTAGTAGTAGTCACGGAGTCACAAATAAATGATTTGTTTCCAGCTCTAGCTGTACAACAATGAAAGCTACGATGAAATTCCTGGTCTCTTGACATTTCCAGATTAATGGGGAGGCCAGAAAATATGTAAGCTAACAAACTTACAAATTGTGATAGGCATAATTCACTCCTACATATATGCACATATTGGACAACAGCAAACACAGTTCTTGACTGGGAACGAAAATGAACAGGAGAGAGAAGAGAAGAGAAGAGAGGGGAGGGGAGGGGAGGGGAGAGGAGGGAAGAGGAGAGAGAGAAATGTCCTGCTATCATGAAAGTTAATGTTCTAGTTGAGAATATAGCACAACACATAAAATACATAGTATTTGAGCGATATGTGCTATAGAGAAAAAACTTCTAGGACCACTCTGGATATGGTGTGTACACAGACTGTGGGGTGAGGATAGAAGCAGACAATCAGTCGGTGTGCTATAAAAATCTCTGTGACAGAAGACAGTAGCTTGGCCCAGGGAAGAGGAGTTGGAGACGGTGAAAAGCAGGATTGTTTTGAATGCAGAGCTATAAAGAATTTGTTAACAAGGTGTGGAGTGTGAGAGAACAAAAGAAAATGAGAACAAACAACAAATAGGGTTGGATTATAATGAAGAGGGGAGATAGGAAGGCAGAGATGGACCTTGCTGTGGAGGCTTCTAGCTAGCTTCACGTGAAGAGCCAGGCAATGCTCCGTTACAGGAAAGGACTTGGCTTGCTCTATGCCCTGACGAAGAGCTACTGTGCTCGAATCAGGAGAAGGGTAGGAGAGGAAGTCAGAGAAGGTGGCATGCAATGGATCACCCAGGAGCTGACCAAAAGAAAGTTTGAACTTTATTCTTGGTATGGTGGAAAATCATCTCAGTTAAAGTCATAAAAATACTTATTATGAAACAAGGAACAACTTCACTTCGTATGATTTCAAATTTCAGTTTTTAGAGGCTGACAAGTATGATTTAAGGCCTTTCTATTCTTGCTAATACTAAAACAACCTAGAATAAGTAACAGAAAAGCAACACCTTTTGTTACCTGGTAATGTCCATTCAAAAGGAGCCCTGGTGATGCAGTGGTTAAGCTCTCAGCAGCAAACAGAAAGGTAGGCTGTTTCAAACCAAGATGAGGCAGTCTGACGCCCTAAAGATTCACAGCCTGGGAAACCCAATGGAGCGGTTCTCCTCTGTCCTGTAGGATCACTAAGATTCTGACTCAGTTGGATTGCAAGGTTTTGTGTGGGTTTTAATGTCTATTTCAAGTGCGTAATTAGTAGTCTACGTGGTTAGTTTCCCCTCATCAGGGAAAATATCAATTAATCCAATCATACACTACTCCAACTTATTTAAAACATTCTTACCCAACAGCATAGTGCTGGTAACGTAGGTATTAAAGTACACTCTCTTGATTTAAATATGAGTAATGTGTTAGTGTCATACATTAAGAAGTCAGATAACATGTCTGAAATAACATCTTGTGTTTCATGACATACAATCCTTATACTTAGCTCAAAGTATTTAAGAGGCAGCTTTATCAAAGAGATCTGTAGGCACAGTAGTTAAGCACTCAGCTGCTAATCAACACCAAAAGTTCTAATCTATCAACTGCTCCACAGGAAGAAAAATAGAAAAATGTTGTTATACACTTCCTTAGTGATTACAGCCTTAGAAACCTTATGGGGCAGTTCTACCCTATAGAGTCCTATAGAGTTGCTATGGATTAGAATGACATTGACAACAATTCATAAATATGTATTCTCTTTATATTTCCATTTTCCATATGCGACTGTCTGAAGCACAAAGGCGTAAAATGAGCTGACGAAAATGGACATGTGAATCACAGGCCGGACAGGAACCACCCGGTCACCAGGTCCCAACTCTCAGGCTGATCATGATCCTCTAGGCTACTAGCCCCTTCTACAAAGCTTTACGTCTATCAAAAGGGACATAGCCACGCTTCTTTGCTTAACGTCAAGAGTACAAAGTTCCCCAGCCGAGGGACTTAAATCTGTTCCACTTGTTTCTGTAGATGACTAGGAGAGACGAGAGTTAAGATACTTGATTTTTATTGCCTGCCCTGGCAATGAAAGTACATCCAACACTAGGCAAGCTAATAGCTTCACCAAGTGAAAAAGGAACTATGTAAACTACGTCTGGCTGACAATGTTTTGTACTCACAAGGTATGTAATGTGTATACACAAGTCCCGAGAAGCCACTTTGCTGTATTAAAGGCAAACCATCAACATGACTATACATTACTTCAATTTCTCTGGCTGGATGCGACATGGGAATTCCTCACTGGGAAGGGCGGAAAACTCAAGATGTTCTTTCCTACTCATTAGGGCCTGAGTTGAAACTTCTTCCTGGATTGAGACTGGCGAGACCTCGACCACTGCCATTCAGTTCTGAAACCACCTACCCTTGTAAATATGCAGCCAGGAACGTCTTTCCTACTGCTGCCAGGAAGAACTGCCAAGTACAGCAAACAACAAAGAATTTGAGACTTGTCCTTATCTCAGTCCTTATTTCCAGTTAAACAAAGCCCCAACCTGGTTCAGTAACTTGAAGTCTCATAGTCTACTAAATATTTTATAAGATGTTCAGGATAGAGTTTTAGCAAGATAAGTCTCAACTATAAGAAAGCACCTGTGAAACCATGCTGTATAATAGGATATTACTTAACAGGATATTAGCTTAACACCGAGGGTTCTTTTTAGGGCTTAAAAAAGTTCTTTTCCTGTTGTGTAGCATCTGGCTTCCATAGCCAAAGGAGTCAAAAGTTGGCAAGAAGCTCAAGAAGGTTTTTAAAGTAATCAGTAGAGGGACTAGGAGAATATTGAATGTCCCTTATATTTTTAATTAAGGCACTAAAGGAAAGGAAACAATATAGTTTCAAAGCCTTGAACACCTGCTCATCTCAATTTTAGAAGGACTTTCATTAAGAGGTGGTCTTTTCTAAATCCTAATGAAGTGGCCCAGGAGGCCACTGAGAAACACCGCAGTAGCAACCAGGTTTGGGAACTGCATGTATTAATGCTTTCATATGCTTAGCATTCAACAAGATTCCTTTTCCCTGAATCAGGCTTTACAAGTGATACTATTCTATTTTAGAGGTTTAAAAGCTGTTAGCTTTAAACAAATTCTCATTTCAGAGCTATGCCCTGGGCGAAAACTTAGCACGGGAAGCAGGAGTGATTTTTTTAAAAAAAGGATCTTCCTTCTGGAACCTTGAAACCTTGAAAGCCCACTGCTATTATAGCTTTCTCATTTCACCTCAATCTCTTCAAAATACATGACGGCATGTTTTCACATTCACTGTTAGCTACAGCAGTAATCCAATATTAAGACAAGCTTTTCCTATGACAAAGTCAAATGCGTCATTTGGTGCCGCTTCTGAGTAACTCCTGTTACTATAATTGGAAAGGAAGAAAAAAAGCAAACGAATATAAACATCAAGAAAATGAAGATGTCCATTTTAGTGGCCCTTCAGACGGTGATTCAGCAAAGAAGTCGTACACATGAAAACTCCTTTTAAAAAGAAACAGAAATCTTAGGATTCTTTCAAGCTAAGATGTCATTTGATGATCCGTACTGTGGGAATCTGAATCCTCATTCTAAGCTTCCACCTCTCCAACTGACCATTATAACAGCGGCTGGTCTAAAGAGTCTAGTCTCTGAAGTCCTTCTCCTTTGTCCTCAGGGGCACATTTCAAAGCAAGCACCATCATTACCTGCACAGAGATCTGCTGTCCCAGAAAGGATCGTACCCAGAGATTACTGTCAGTATTCTTCCCCTGCCAACTTTGCCTTCTGACAAAAGACCGTCTCTTCATCAGTGTTTTATAAAAGTAAAGGCTTTGCTCCTGCCAGCACACAGCTTTGCGTGTTTCTAACAAGGTATGAATAGGGCACCAGAGTCTTGTGAAGTTAGGGTTTTTCAGCAATTTTAATCTAAAAAAGGAAGCCCCAGCAAATTGTGGTAGCTACAAGTCATGGCTTATGTTGTTTAACAAACAAAACTACTTCCTAGTTCTGAGTTTAAGAATAAGATCTTATAAAATTATTTTAAGCAGCTCTCTCCAAATAACCCTTACTAAGTAAAGTTGATAGTGAATATCGGCATATAATAAAATCTTACTAGACCTGCTCAATCAGTTTAACAAGAAGACAGATCAACGTACACTCTTCATTCAGCAGTAAATGCCAGGGGGAGCCACACAAAATCCAGGGGAAAATGGAACCAAAGATAATGGAATTCCCCCACAACTTTGTGATGCTCCCTTGCCCCTAGTCAGGACCTTAAAATTCGGGCACACACCCTAGGCAGCACCTCCAGGCTTCTCTAACGAGTCCATGTGAGAGCAGGAATCCTGCCTACTGGCTCAGTCTTGTCCACACTGTCACCCCAGGGACTGGTACCAAGTAGATAACTTTTGCGTGGAATCTCTAAATCCTTTAGTAGTTCTTTAACACGATTGAACAAAATTTGGGCAAGAAGATCTTTTTATTAACACTGTAGCCTTCATGCTTTCACAAGCCATGTTCATAAGCCATGGTTGTAGGAGTCACTTCTATTCTCCATGGGGTTATGTCAAAGTACACTAGGACAATAAATGCAAAAGCCCTTAGAAAAGCAGAGACCAAATTCCGCACGCACGCACGCTGGTACTAAGGATATTTGGACTGTGTCCTCTAAGATTTTATGGTACCGAAACCCTCAGTTTCATCTTACTTCATTCTGATCAGAGGTTGAAGAGCATGCTTCATGTAACCTCCATGTGCTACATTTGCTTCTTGGTGGGTTGCAATACTACACCTGGCTATTCCGAACAATCTCCCACAGGGGAAAATGCTGTGTGGACTAAGGCACTTGAAGGAAAAGAACCATGAACACACTAATCCTGTGTGGGTGCTTTATTAGTTCAGTTCAGCAAATACTAATCAAGCTTTTATCATGTGCCAAGAATTCCATTAGCTCCTGGGGATTTAAAAAATATGCGCAGACCCAGTCCTTGCCTTCTCTGCCTTTTAGATTTATGTTACTTAAATACAGGAAAGAAAAATCATTTACCTTTGACTATACTAACTAATTTACAATAGGAAAATGCTGTCTTGCAGTGATTGCCTCATTAATCCTGGTGAAAATATCAAACTAGGCCATCAAACCCTATGGGGAAATATGGAAACAGATTGGTTAAAATGGAAGACAAATGTAGGCAAGCTCACTTGCTCACTGAGGCCATTCCGATAGAAAATCCCGTCTCTGTCCCACAGGACAGCTGATGGTTTTGAAATGCTAACCTTGAGCTTAGCAGTCCAACGGGAAACCCACCAGGGCTTGAAAGGCAAAGTAGAAAAGCTCCTCCTCAATCTTTGAGAGAACAGACAGCCTCATCTCTCTTCCACAGGTGGGTGGGGCCACAAGGCCCCAGGGCTCCTGACAAACCTTTAAAGAGCTATTTAAAGTGTTAAAAAGCAACTATGTCACCTTCCTGAGCACTAAGGTGTGCTTGACTCAAGGCCTGGCAATTCCAATCACCTCAGAGGCAAGGGAGACCAAAGGACTGATGTATTTGAATTATGGTGGTGGCAAAGGACCCTGACCACATGAACTGCCAGAAGCTGGAACAACAGGGTTATAATGATGTTCAATCAGCCAGAATGACCCACAGAAGCAAGGATGGCAAGACTCCATCTCTTGTACTTTTGACAGGTATCAGGAGGGGTCAGTTCTTAGAGGACATCAAGCTGGGTAATCAGTCAGGTGAGGGAAACAATGTGGCAGAGGATCAATGAGATGGACTGGCACAGTGGCTGCAACAATGGACTCAAACAGCAGTGACTGTGAGCATGGGGCAGGATGGGTAGGGTTTGGCTGTTGTGCTCAACATAGTGATTAAGAATGTTTGCTCTGGAGTTCCAATTGACATCCTAGCTGCCCAAATAGCAGCGTCAACTTTCAATTACAGTGTTCTTGGAAGGATTAAATGAGCACGTGTGCTAAGGGTTTGCCTATGTCTGGCATATAGTTAAGTATCTCCTCCAACGGACAGGTCTTTTAGTCATGTGCCAAAAGGGGGGCACAGTCTCCAACGGTGCTGAGCTGTAGGCTGCTCTCTGGAAGCAAGAACTCCAAGGCAGACCTAGCCAAACCCAAACGCATCGCTCTCAGGTCGATTCTGACTTACAGCGACCCCATCGGGGGACGTAAGAAATGTCCCTTTGGGTTTCTGAGACTTTACATCTTTACGGGGGCGGATGGCCTCGAAGCTGTCTGCGTGGAGCGAGTGGTGGGTTTGAAGAGCTAACCTTCCAGTGAACAGCTCAGCGGGCAGCCCGTTAGAGTGATTTTAACCGAAAGCAGTGTGACCTACTGAGATAGCAGGAGGTAAAAGTGCCTGCCTTTTCATGTGGCATCTGGTAAACCATGCGTGGACATTAAAAACTAACTAAATCGCAAAGTTTAACGCGCAGCAGACAAAAATCCCCTGCAAACTAGGTGGTGCCGGGGACTGCGTTTGGGTTATGAACCACGATGCCTTCCTAGGCTGAGTGCGCCGGCTCGCACCCACTCGCTTCCGCACCTGGCGGCTAGCCGCTGCGGCCTCCGTCTTCCTGGGGAGAAAATGGGGCGACAGAAGTCGCTGGCTCGGGCGCCAGGGCAGGTGGCTCCAGAGCCGGTCTGCAGCTCGGCGCTGCACGGGGCGCGGAGCAGGCGCCCCAGTGGGCCCGTCCGTCCCGCCCGGACGCCTCTGCAGATCCCGCTGAAGATTCAACGCGTCCATCCCTGGACGGCGCGCGGAGGGCACGGCCAGTGGTCACGGTGGCCGTCACTGCGCCAAAGGCCGGGCCCGGGGCCCGCGCG